AGGATAAGCTTCTTCTTCTGCTCTTTTTTTCTCTTTTCCACTTTTTTGGGCCTAATGCTAACAACTAAGTAATGTTCTGGATATTTTCCTTTTTGGGCTTGAAGTTTCCAATGGGCCTGGAAGCAGTTTCATTGAGTGGCAAAAAAGCATCAACCCAACGCACGAGTTTTACATGGCAAGGTTGAAGGTACAACTAAATTTGGAAAATCACATTATTAATTCAAGTAATTATTTACACAAAGGTGGCACTAACTTTTTAGAAAAAAATTATTCCTTTCCTTTATTTTTGTGCCAAGGTTTTATCCCCAGTTTCTTTCTCTTGTAATTAATAATTTGGTATTTGATTGTGGGGAGAAAAAAAGGAAGAAATTAATTAATGAATGGCGATGAGAAATAAAGAAACAGGAGGAGATCACCATCAGAATAAGTTTGATGCATGTGCTTTCCTCAGAATAAGTTTGACTGGATTGGAAATGATGATGGTGGATAGGATTTTCCGTTGGATTGTTAGAAAAAGGAACCTTGCTTGCTAAAATACAAAATGAAAGAGGATGTTTGATGTTTTGGCAGACTGGACTGAAATGGACCACTCTCTTAGGTAATTATGGACACAATTTTTTTCAGTATTTGGGTGCACGGCCGATGCATGCTTGCATGCCCCGACTTTGCAAATTTGTATTACCAATCCAAATGATCGATGCCCTCAAGTCAAGCCCTATAAGTGGTGTTGTCCATGGATCACCTGAATATATATATATATTATGAATATGTAAATACATTAATTACAAGAGTATGCAAATTCGGGGCCTGTAAATGTGCACTTTAAAATCGCAAGAGGTGGGAGTTTTACTTCATATGATCATATATTAAGATATATAACTTTTCATTCGAGAAATGTCACGTGATGTTACCAACTTACATGTTATAATATGAGTGAACGACATAGTTGATATGTTATTGGGAAATAGATACACGTGTAAGTAATTAATCTTGTTCGATTTTATCAATGAATTTGACTATAGATCATTTGCTATTTATGCTAGTTGAGCTTAGTGAACTCATAACAAAACATCCCACACCCTATAAAACCCATAACCACCATACCACAACAAGCCTCTATATTTGTGGTCCATTGGTGGTTATATATATATATATATATATAATTATAAGTACATCCCTAGCTAGTCTGGTTGAGTTTCCCGATTTCTTGAAAATGACCATGATCAAGCAAACTAGATACATGTAAAGAATGCACCCAAAAAAGATACTTGTAAAGAATAAAACAACATATCGGTGGGGTTGAGCCCATCCCTACTTAGTTCATGAAAATACCAACAATCAGACATATTGAAAGTAACACTTCCATGATCCCCCATGGCAGTACAATGCTATAAATACATACCCAGGAGGGGCTGTTTTAATTACCTGCATGTGGACCATAATCTCTATCGTGTTCTTCATCTTAGCTTCACAGCACTATGATTACACTAGAAGATATGTATGCACAGGATCTAGCCTTGCTTGTTTATACGATCTCTTCTGAATCGTAAAATATTTATATACACAAACAATAAACCAAAGGAATTATAATTAAGAGCACGCGCGCGCAGCTTTGATTAAGGAAAAACTTAAGCCACGTCCCTCTCATTACCTCTACTCCCAAGTCTCAACCAAACCAAATGACACTTTGATCACACACCTAAAACCAAAGCCCTCTCTCTTCCTCCCCCACAGTACCTCTCCTCTTTTTAAAGTCACGAGACCCAGTACTGTCCCCAGCTTTGTTGTTTCAATTTTTTTTAATTTATTGAGAGATGAGTCCAAAGGGGTTTGGCAGAGAAACTGATAGAGAACTTTCAAAGCTCTTTTTCTTCCACCATCACTCAACTAGCCTCTATATTGCAGTCTCAAACTGAAAGTCTTATAATTTTCTAAAAGCTTTAGTTCTCTCTCTATCTTCCCATCTGAGAGAGAGAGAGAGAGAGAGAGAGAGAGAGAGAGAGAGAGTGAGAGATAGAATACTTCGCCCTCACATTCACATTTTTATTTCTGTCTTTCTCTGTCGGTACCATGTAGGTCTTTCCCCCCCATCCCACCTTTCTCACCTGCTAATTGCTTCTCCCTTTTCTCTACCCCATCTCCTTCTCCTTCTCCTGCCCTTATACTTTATCCAATACTCTTTTTCTTTCTAACCCACCATTTACTGTTTCATATATATATGTACTACCTCTGTGGCTTTTAGCGTTGTATTTATCTCTTGTTTTGATTTGCAGGCGACCTGATGAGGGCAACCCTTTAGACCTCAACAACTTGCCCGATGATCATTTCAGTAGAGATGGTAAACAAGTTGTCGAGGACAGCTCCTCTGGTACTTTTCAAATTTCTGATTACTACTACTACCGCCAAACCCAAAAACGGATCAACAATATCAAAACCCCCACATATCTTTTGAAAGGGCTCACATTTCTTGTTTTCCTTTCTTTTTTCTTTAATTTCTCCTTTTCAATCTTTTTCTTTTCTTTAAAAACAGATGAAAAGCTCTTCTTTGCTTTCAAATCAAAAAGGTTGACTTAAATGGGTATGAAGAAGATTGTGGATTTAAATTACTCTTCTTTTTCCGTCTTAAAATGTGTTCATGATGATTTGGGTAATTAATTAATTTAGATAGGGCGGAGGTCGCTGGTAGGGGTTAGTTTAGTTTAGTTTAGTCATATCGAAGTTGCTTTTATTGTCTGGGTTTTTAGTTGCAGGCTACAGAAAAAAGAAAAGCGGCGCAAAAGATGGAAAAGACGAGTGTGGGAAGGTCTACGAGTGTAGGTTTTGTTCCCTCAAGTTCTGCAAATCTCAGGCCCTTGGGGGACACATGAATCGCCATCGTCAAGGCAAGTCAATTTCATTTCTTTAATTATTTACACAAACTAAAACTAGTTGCCTTTATATTTGAGAAATTAATAAATAAAAGAACACAATTGGGGGCACTGGTTGTCTCATCAATGATTTAGCCATGAAGCGTCTTGGTCATTTCAAATAAGTCGAGGAAAGGAAGTCGTGATTTGATTTGATCATTTGTGTTTCGTTTGCTGAAATTCTTGCTGGATCAATTAAAGGTCATGTACTTTTATATTTGATATTATATTTATATATGTTGTGTGATTTGATTTGATTTAATTTGTGTGTTGGGTCGGAATGGTCACCAGAAAGGGAGACAGAAACACTCAACAAGGCTCGTCAGCTAGTCTTCAGTAACGATAACCTATCCGCCCCTCCTCCTCCTCACCTAGGGTATATATGCTTAATTTCTCTTCCTTTTATAAATTGCACTTTCTTTTCTTCTTTATGGTAATAAAAAAATTGAATTATTACATTAATAATTGTTGTTTGATTTTGTAGATGCTGCCATCCAATTACACCGGCAGGATATCATCATCCGGCAGCTGCAGGCAACAACATTGGCGGTGACCCAACATTACCTCTCAGATTCCCAGCAAGAATGTTTTCTGGCTCTTCGTCAAGTACCCTCGTACCACCACCGCCTCCGCCGCCGGTGCCACAGCCAGGTGTTCAACCGCCTCAACAACCATACTTATACTCCTCTCCTTCGCGGCCCATGTCCTTCCCTGCTTCCCATTACCCTCACCATCAACACTCGGTCAATGATTATTATGTTGGACATGTTCTTAGCAGCACTAGTAGTAGTAGCCCCTCACAGTATGGTCATGGTCACCCAAATGTGAACTATGGAGCATCACCACCGGAGCCCACCAACTACACTTGCATTGGTGCACCTGTGGGACCCGGAGGAGGAGGAGGTGGTGGTGGAGGTGGAGGTGGTGGTAGAGACGGGTCACTGCACATGAACCAGGAGGAGGGATTGAATTGGAGCAGGAGCTATGCAGGGACACAGCAGCGTTTGGATCCTCCTCCTTCGATCAATCGATTTCAACCTGGCTTCTAATATTTAAAACAAATTATTATTATTATTATTATTTTGTTTTTGTTTCTTCTGAGAGATAGTCTTGAAGTATTATTATTAGGGTCTCTGCCTCGACACGCCACCCACAATGGACAGAGAGAAAGAGAGAGACTTAACAAGCTGACAAATGGGGTCATGAGAGGAAGGAGATGAGAGAGGTTTTTTGGTATTTTCTACTGGGCCAGCTTTTAAGCTCATCGACACCCTCAGCAAGTTTGGCTTCAAGTTGTGGGGTTGGGGGGGCTTTCAACATTGGAAATCTGAAGAGGGGTGTCTTTTGTATGTGTGTATCACTTCTACTACCAAGTCTGAAAAGGGGAACTAGAAAGACCTTGTGGGACAACAAGTTAGATATGAACTGAAAGTTCTCAACCCCTTTTTGCATTTCTAGTTCGTTTTGCATGCCAATCAATTTTTCCTTTTCTTTTTCTCGCTTTTTTCTATTAGCTTCCATTTGCCTTTTCCTATAGCATTTAATTATGTGGCCTCAGCGTTTTGACCAGGGGAAAAGGGAGAGTTTTGCCCTCCTTTTTTTTTTTTTTTTGGGATAAAATAAAGTTTAGGTGGAAGGGAGGCTACCCATCCCAGAGCCAAGACAAAGAGGGCTTTAGCTCCTTTTTGGTTTTTACAAATTACCCACTAAAAATGATTGTCGCCTTCCTTCTATTTCCCTCTAAATCTCAATTAGGATCTTCTGGCTTCTGGGTCATATGTGGTCACACCATGCTTGCACTGTAGGGGGCAATGAGAACTCGCAATCCCATCAAACTTTTTACTGCAACTTCTCTCACCCAGA